AAGTTGAACTGACTTGAAAAAATTATATTAACCAAACTTGAAAAAAGTTTGAAAAAATTTATTTATAATATTTTAAGTTGATCCAATGTTTCCTTTTTAGCCTGTAGGTTCTAATGGTAATATGTTTTTTAGTACTCTAAACAAGGCAACTTAAAATATTACAGTTGAATCTTGCTATTTAAAAAAGTTAATGAAAACAGTAACTCTTAAAATGTCACCTAAACAAAGCAGGTTTATTTAAATTAAATTTGACTCCTCAAACAAAGTTGACTAAACCTCTGTAACTATGTTAATAGAACTTGCAAAATAGTGTTGACAATTTAACAATCTAAGTTTATTGAAACTTTGTACCTAGGTTAATCTAACTTGTATTAGTGTTGCCTTAACTCTTAAGTCAAAGTTAGCTGAACCTCTGTCTATAGGTAATTTGTTGAACTTTTGTAACTGAGTTGACTTAACTCAAAAATGTATTGCAGCATGTTGCCTTGAATTTTTGAGTTGGCTGAACATTTTTTTTTACAGTGTACATGTACTATGTAAATGTCTACTTACTTTCCTTTTTTATCCAACCCTGAAATTAAAAAAAACATACAATTAACTATGTTTAACTCAAATGCTCTGTTGTAAGTAATGAGTAATGATAATGTGTAAGAATCATAACATCAGCATCATAAAGGAAGACCAGAGAAGCCCAAAAGAATTAAAGCAGCATGAGTATGAAAGCAGTATGAAATGCTACATCCTGAGCCACAGCTATAGTGAATAAATAACCATGTGGTTATAAATGTAATTTTCATGTCTCTATTATACTTACAGTATGCAGACATCGCTATAACAAACCAGCCAAACAGGATGACAGACCCAGAAATCAGGACAGTCAGCCGTAGATCCAATGGCTGTTTTCCTGTGTCTGAAATGACATGATCACAAAAACCAGTAAATGAGTGACAGAAATTAAACCACAGGAATACATATATGTCCTAAATGGTTTGTACAATTTAGTTAGTGTTAAGTTTACATAGTAAAAGTAAAACTCAGGATAAACATCCCATATCTATAGTATATTTACCTGCTTTGAGTTTTAATACTACAGCCAGGGCAAGAGAATTCACAAGAGGGAGACCAAAAGTCCCTGAGAAATATACATATTTACGGGGTTTGGCTGAAAGGTAGAGAGAAAAGCATTAGTCATACAGCTCCATACAGTGCTGTGATGAAGTATTTGCCCTGATTCCATCTATTTTTACTTATCCATAACACTTAAATATCATGGATAACCAAACAAATTTAATATAATACAAAGAACACAACATGGCTTTTAAATTATTATTTGATTCACTGAAGGAAGGGAAAAAAACCAAAGAAACAAATATTCACCAACACCCATATCACCCATGTGACAAAGTAATTTCTCCCTTTTTGCATCGCTGTGAATAAATTTTTACCCACTCTTCTTTTAATTCAGCCACATTGGAGGGTTTTTTAATCAAAACTACCCATTTAAGGTCATTGGGTTCAAGTCAGGACTTTGACTAGGTCACTCCATCCATCTTCTACCGCTTTACTGGGTCGGGTAGTGGGGGCAGCAGTCTAAGCAGGGAAACCCAGACTTCCCTCTCCCCGGCCACTTCATCCAGCTCCTCCGGGGGAATCCCGAGGCATCCCCAGGCCAGCCGAGAGACAGCATGTCCTAGGTCTTCCCCGGGGTCTCCTACCAGTGGGACATGCCCGAAACACATCAACAGGGAGGCGTCCAGGAGATATCCTGACTAGATGCATGAGCCACCTCATCTGGTTTTTCACCCTATCCTTTTCCACTTGGGAAAGGACTCCCTCCCCGACCTGGAGAAAGCACTCCACCCTTTTCCGGCTGAGGACCATGGTCTCAGATTTGGAGCAACTAATTTTCATCCCAGCTACTTCACACTCGGCTGCAAACTGCTCCAGTGAGAGCCGAAGGTCACGGTCTAGTGAAGGAAACAGAACCACATCATCTGCAAAAAGCAGAGACCTAATCCTGAGGTCACCAAACCGGACACCCTCAACTCCCTGGCTGCACCTACAAATTCTGTCCATAAAAGTTATGAACAGAAACGGTGACAAAAGACAGCCGTGGCTTAGTTCAACCCTCAATGGAAACGAGTCCAGCTTACTGCCAACAATGCGGACCAAGTTCTGACACCGGTCTTACAGGGACCGAACAGCCCTTATAAGGAAGCCTGGCACCCCATGCTCCTGGAGCACTCACCACAGGACACCCCGAGGGACACGGTCGAATTCCTTCTCCAAGTCCACAAAGTACATGTACACTTGTTGGGCAAACTCCCTCGTACCCTTGAATAGACCTTACCAGGGAGACTGAGGAGTGTGATCCCCCTATAGTTGGAACACACCCTCTGGTCCTGCTTCTTGAAGAGGGGGACCACCACCCCAGTCTGCCAATCCAGAGGCACTGTCCCCGATGTTCACGCGATGCTGCTGATGCGTGTCAACCAGGACAGCCCTGCAACATCCAGAGCTTTGAGGAACTCCGGGTGGATCTCATCTAGCCCCAAGGCTCGGCCACCGAGGAGCTTTTTAACCACCTCAGCGACCTCTGGCTCAGAGATAGGGGAGTCCACCCCCAAGTCCCCAGACTCTGCTCCCTGCCCTGAGCCGCCGGATGGTGGACCAGAATCTTCTCAAAGCTGTCTGGAAGTCGTTCTCCATGGCCTGGCCAAACGCCTCACACACCCGAGTTTTTGCCTCAGCGACCACCGAAGCCACATTCCGCTTAGCCCGCCGGTACTCATCGGCTGCCTCTGGAGTCCCACAGGCTAAAAAGGCCCAATAGGACTCCTTCTTCAGCTTGACGGCATCCCTTACTGCTTGGGTCCACCAGCGGGTTCAGGGATTGCAACCCCTACGGCTACATTGCCCACCTTACGGCCACAGCTCCTGCCAGCCACCGCCACAATGGAGGCACGGAACATGGCCCATTCTTTCTCAATGTCCCCCGCCTCCCCCGGAACATGGGAGAAGTTCTGGCGGAGGTAGGAGTTGAAACTCCTCCTGACAGGGGATTCCGCCAGACGTTCCCAGCAGACCCTCACTATACGCTTGGGCCTGCCAGGCCTGGACAGCTTCCTCCCCCACCAGCGGAGCCAACCCACCACCAGGTGGTGATCGGTTGACAGCTCCGCCCCTCTCCTCACCCGAGTGTCCAATACATGCAGCCGCAAGTCCGATGACACGTCCAAAAAGTTGATCATCGAACTGCGGCCTAGGGTGTCCTGGTGCCAAGTGCACATATGGAGACCCTTATGTTTGAACATGGTGTTCATTATGGACAATCCGTGGCGAGCACACTCCAATAAAAAAAACACCACTCTGCTTCAGATCGCGGGGCTCGTTCCTCCCAATCACGCTCACTGTCATTGCCCACGTGAGCATTGAAGTCCACCACCAGAACGAGGAAGTCCCCAGGACCCCTTCCAAGGACTCCAAAAAGGGTGGGTATTCTGAACTGTCATTTGGCGCATAAGTGCATACAACAGTCAGGACCCATCCCCCCACCCAAAGGTGAAGGGAGGCTACCCTTTCGTCCACCACGGTGAATCCCAATATACAGACGCCGAGCCAGGGGGCAATAAGTATGCCCACCCCAGCTCGGCGCCTCTCCCCGTGAGCAACTCCAGAGTGGAAGAGGGTCCAACCCCCCTCAAGGAGACTGAGAGTCCAATCCTTGCATCGAGGTGAGCCCGACTATATCTAGTCGGAGCTTCACAACCTTGCGCAGCAGCTCAGGCTCCTTCCCCGCTAGAGGTGACATTCCATGTCCCTATACCTAGCTTCTGCATCAGAGGATCGGACCGCAAAGGTCTCCGCCTTCGGTCACTGCCCAATTCACACTGCACCCGACCACCTTGGCCCCTCCTACAGGTGGTGAGCCCATTGGAGGGAGGACTCCTTCTTCAGGCTGAGCCCGGCCAGACCCCATGGGTGCAGGCTTGGCCACCAGGTGCTCGCTATCAAGCCCCAACCCCAGGCCTGGCTACCGGGGGGGGCCCGGTGACCCACGTCCAGGCGAGGGAAAACGTGAATCTATGTTCTTTTTCATCATATGGGGTCTAATCATCCGCACTTCGTCTGGTTACTCACCCAGGACCTGCTTGCCTTGGGTGACCCAACCAGAGGCATAAAACCCTGGGCAACTTAGTTCCTGGGATCATTGGAACACGCAAACCTCTCCACCATGATAAGGTGTTGGCTCCAGGAGAGGACTAAGCCACTTCAAAACCTTAATTTTGTTTTTTTGTTTCTTTTCAGTTATTCAGAGCTGGACTTGCTCTTTTGGTTCAGGTCACTGTCCTGCTGCATAAGCGAATTATGCTTGAGATCACAGATTGATGACAGACATTCTCCTTCAGTACTTTCTGGCAGACAGCTGAATTCATGCATCCCTCAATTACAGCAAGTCGCCCAGGCCGTGCAGCAGCAAAGCATCCCCACTGTATCACTCTGCCTCCACCATGTCTGACTGTGGCCATGATGTTCTTTGTGTGGAAGCTGTGTTAGCTTTACACCAGATGTAGCAGGACCCATGTCTTCCAGATAGTGACACATTTGCATCATCAGGCCACAGAACATCCACCCAAAAGTGTTGGGGGTATTCGAGGTGCTTTTTGGCAAATGTTAGACAAGCCTTCATGTTCCTCTCATTTACTGTAGCTGTGATTTCTGCCTTGCATCTCTCCCATGGACACCATTATTGTCCAGTGTCTTTCTAATCATGGAATCAGACATTAACTGATCCGAAAGAGGCCTGTAGTTCCTTTGATCTTCGTTCAGGGTCTGCTGCAGCTTCCCTGATAGGTTTCTATTTGCTCTTGGAGTAATTCTGCTAGGCTGGCCACTCCTGGGCAGATTTGCCATTTTTTCCAAGTTTTTTTCATCTGAAGATGATGGCTGTCACAGTGATTTGCTTGAGTCTAATGGTTTTAGAGAATGTTTTCTACCCCTTTCCTAACTGGTATATTTCAGTGATTTTCTTTCTCAGGTCTTCAGGAAGTTCTTCTGATTGAGCCATGGTGTGATGCTACTTGAGATCCTTTATCCAGCTCCATATTGCTACAATGGTTTTAGGTGTGTAGGTTCATCAGGGCTGGCAGCAATCAAGCTTGATTAAGTGACCAAATACTTTGTCATGGCACTGTATATGCAGTAAAACAGCCACTGGGTATTTTCCTTAATTAAAAAAGAATTAATGCTGTGTTTATAAAATAAAAAAATAATAAATTAAAAATATAAAAAAGAAACACAATATTTAAACACCTCATCAATGAAAAGGTTTTTTAAAATGATTTTATAGTAAAACAAATACAAACCAAGTAAATTGTCCCGCTCAAACAATACAAAGAGTGTTGTGATAGTCAGAAAGTAGACGAACACAAACTCGCAGATCTTTAGAAGTCGTCCTGTGGTCAGAAATAGTTGCAGTTAATTTCTTAATTTTTTAATACAACAAGGGATATTCATGAAATTAACAACTTTTCTGTTCCTCTAAAATCAGTAAATTCATCTCTGAAGACACACATAACAAATTAAATGAAACCGCTTCACTATTGGAAGTGTCCTTTTTACAGCTTACACAGAATATATTACTGTCTGTTTCATATTGATTACATCAAAGTATATGCCTTTATTAGTGAGGTGTAATTCAATAATGACTTAATACTAAAAACAGTTACAGTACATTACTGATAACTGCATCCCAAAAATAATTTCAGGTTTCAAAACATTTTACAAACACCAGTAACCAAAAATGACTGACATTTTAAGCTTTATTACAATCAAATATTTGCCTTACAGTTAACGATTTTCCTTACCTTTGTCATTTTCTAGAATCACACTTAGGTTCAGGAAATTTAATATTAGGTGAAGCATGAAGAAAATCCCCAAAAGGATTTTCTGAGCAAAATCTGAAAAGCAACAAAACATGTAAAACAACAGATTAAATAAACATAAAACAGGCCCCCATTAAACAATATCTCTCTGTTTACTTTTGTCTGTTATATCTTTGAGGGGTGGGCATTTACAGGGGGTGCACAAAATAATGGAAACATCAGTATATTAATCTCAAAGACCTAATAAGGAGTTCGGGCCCCTCTTAGCTTCAATATAGGTTCAGATCTTCCTACAATGTGGTCAAGGAATAATGATGTCTGCAGTGGGACATTGGACCGATCTTCAGAAAGAAAAACCCTCAGTTCTTTTGAGCATTAAGGAGGTGGAAATCAACTTCACACACTGTGCTCCAGCACCTTCCATAAACCTCTAATGGTGCTTAGATCTGGTGGCTGGGAGGCCAAGGAAGGCATTTGACTTCATCCTGGTGCTCATGAAGCCTCTCCTGAATTTGTTTAGCAGTGTGTATGGGGGTATTATCATCATGGAATAAGGGAACATCATGAGGGAACAGTGTCTGAGCCACAGGGAGCAGCAGGTCAAGCCCCCATATTCCTTGGCTGTTATAGGACTATGCAGAGCATCATCAGACCCAATGACTCCCACAAGACGGCTGCCCACACCAACAGGTACTGTGGGCCGATGGCGTCCTTTGGCTTTTTCCAAATGTAACCCCATCCAGACGCTCTGCAATACTGCACTACTGAGTGCACTGCAATACTGCCCTGCTGAGCACACTCTGCATCTGTATTACTATACTTGGCACGTCATTTTTTTGGCAAAGGTTTTATGTAATTAAGTTTTTCTGTCTTACTGTCTGTGAGCTTTGACTTGTGGCCACTGTTCCTCTTTGCCGATGCAGTTTGTCTGTGTTTGGTTATGCTTTTTCAGACTGTCTCCCTTGTTACATTAATTTTGCTGTTTTTCTTCCTGATGTACCGGCTAATTCTGTTATTTGCCCCACTTTGCTTGAAAACTCACATATCAAATTTTTAGAATTACATGGATTTTAATTGTACTCTGATGATTCAATTTAAAGGTGACTCATGTAAATTATCAGTAACAAACAGGCTGAATATGATTCAGTAAAAAGTTTCATACTTACAGTAAAATCCCTCCAAGCGCTTTCCTTCATAATATAAAAAATAATCCTTGATCATGATGCAGGCACATATTCCTAAAGCAGCTACTGCAATCAGAATTGCATATTCTGAAAAGAGAAATATCACATTAGTATGTGGTGAATAATTATCCACACCAGTGCCTTATCCTATCATTATTATGAATTTAAAATGTAAAATTAGTCTGTGATGTATAATCATCCACACTAGTGCCTTATCCTATCATTATTATGNATCCACACTAGTGCCTTATCCTATCATTATTATGAATATAAAATGTAACATTAGTCTGTGGTGTATAATCATCCACACTAGTGCCTAATATTATCACTATTATGAATATAAAATGTAACATTAGTCTGTGGTGTATAATTATCCACACCAGTGCCTTATCCTATCATAATTCTGAATAAAAAATGTAACATCATCACTGTCTATGTTTAATAAATCAAAGAGCCATTGAGCTGAACTGTGAGTCTACAGTGAAGCACCTAAAGAAAATATTTAGCAGTCTGCTTGTGAGTTATTGTATTCTATCATTATATTGTAAGCACATTGACATATCTATAGTATTGTTCACAGGCCTATGTATTTTCACCTTTTCTGTCTATCTTTTACTGATAGAGGGGAATATGAAGGACGCACCAATAGTGAAGTCAGTGAGGTGTTTCAACGTGTTCAACCTCACTTTTTGGCCAGATGATAAGATGGAGGTAGTGAACCATTGGTGTTGGAGAGGGGAAGTTTCTCTTAGAGCATTTCATGACTGAAATTACTTTAATAATGACCTTATTTAAACACAACATAATGTGACAATTGTCACTGTTGATTTTGTTAGTTGGTTTGATCAGTATACCAGATTTTATTTTTTTTTAAGAACTAAAAATAACATTTGAAGCTAAATATTCACCTGAATAAAAAAAAAATCAGCAGTTGAAAATGACTGTGGGTCAAGTGCATTGTTAATACATTTCTAATGTGTTATTAATAGTGTCTGCTGGGTCTTAGTGAGAGAGAGCTAGATCATTCAGTATTAGCATGATAGAGGATACGCGACTCGGGAACTTCCCTGAAAGCAGCTTGAATTCACATTGTGTGTGTGTGACCCTGCAGCACTGTGAGGGAGGGTATGCAGGCTGCATATCATTCGGAAAAGACAAAATAATGATCATTATCTGTAAAAAACATTCCAAAACTGCGACCTGCTATAGCGTTTGGAGTAAAGATAATTGTATGAAATAGGTTAAATATAAGCATAGGCTACTCTGACTGTGTTAAAGGTTGGGTTTGTTTAATGTTACACCTAATGGGCTAGATTAGGCTAACAAACGTTTCACATAACGTCATTGATAAAAAAATAATAATAAACAGTTTATGGAGATGTGACCGACCGCCAGGCGACACCGCGGGCTGATTACAAAAAGAGGAATGCGACTACGCCACCTTGGGAATTTCACCCAAGGATATAAGGTTGAAACAGATTCAGCTCAAGGAGCACAAGAGGCAGAGAGGTTACCAGATAAAAAAAAACACCTTTATTAAAACAACCATTGCTAGGATGCATAAAACGAGCTGTAAGGTACCAACAGTACACAATTAAAGCCAGCAATCTCGGGGGCCGGACACACGCCTAAAATATCCCATATAATTACTACAACACTAACATCACAGCAAACACACAAGCAATCCAACACAGCACCCAATGCACAAAACCAAAACAAGAAGCAAAACAGCAGCATTGGCACTATGACGACAGCCCCATTCCTAAAGGAAATACAAACACGTTACCCTGAAACCAGTAAACATGGAGAAAAAGCAGCAACGGACACCTACCAGGTATCAGATAAGGGAAGCACAGGATGACAATGCTGCCAATGTTAGCTTCGTAACCACTCGCTAGAAAATTGAAACAACATCACGTATGGTATACAATCCCCGCTTCGGCCATCGGAGAGAGGAGATACTAACTGCCAGTTCAACCAAGCAGAAGTCAAGTCGTAGCTTTCCGACAAAGGGACTGCAAAGGCAAATTCCCTCGCTCTGGCTACAAAACTGCCAAAATGGACAAACACACAGAGCCCAAAACCCCCTGGCGTGTTTTATCACAGATCCGTCACCATTGCCATTCCCGTCCTTTATAAGGCCCAAACCATTATGCACAGGACAATTATCTAATCTAGGCCGCCAATCACCAGAGAAGGTAAGCCCCTAATTGGCATCCTGCTACAGAGAGGATGGTATCAGTAATAGTGTGGTATGTATAGGTATATATGGTTACAAATAATATTAAATTACATGATTCATACCCATAATATTTTAGTGCTTTTAGATGTTCTTATGATATAGACCTAAATTCATTCAGTAAGGCACATTCATGTAATAGCTCCACATAAATTGCTGTAACCTAAACTAACAATTAATTGATACGATCTCTCATTTAACACTGCCTATCCCCCAGAAAACAAGCCTCCTGTATGTAATCTGTGATTGACAAGACCCCCCCCCCACTCCCTAGTCGCAGACCTCACTCATTTTAATAATAATAATTCATTTTATTTACACCGCACTTTACATTTTCTGCTACAAAACCTCAACAATCTAAAAAAGAAAAAAAGAGCTATGAAGCAAAAAATTAGGAATGATAACATTTGCTAAAAAGGAAGGTTTTAAGTCCATTTTAAAAACTGTCAGTAGATTGGGCTGCCCTCAGTGTCAGGAAGGGCATTCCACAGGCGAGGTGCAGCAGCACAGAGGCCTGATCGCCCATCGTGCTGTTTAGTTTTGGGGGGATGGAGGCGATTTAATTGTGAAGAGTGGAGGGGTCGTGTTGTGGTTTGAGTTGTTATCAGTTCTTTTAAGTAAAGATAGATAAATACACTGGTGGGTGAGGAGAGAAATCTTGTACTCGATCCTAGCAGAAACAGGAAGCCAGTGAAGTGACTGAAGCACAGGTGTTATGTGTTCATATTGCCGAACTCTCATCAGGATCCTAGCAGCAGATTTCTGGATGTACTGCAGCCTTAGAAAACTCTTACTAGGAATCCCTATGAAGCATACATCGCACACTGTAACTCAAAAATTCAAGGCAACATGATGCAATACATTTTTGAGTTAAGCTAGTCAACTCAATTACAAAAGTTTAACAAACCTATAGTCAAATTAAATTTAAATAAACCTGCCTTGTTTAGGTGACATTTTAAGAGTTAATGTTTTCATTAACTTTTTTAAATAGCAAGATTCAACTGTAATATTTCAAGTTGCCTTGTTTAGAGTACTAAAAAACATATCACCATTAGAACCTACAGGCTAAAAAGGAAACATTGGATCAACTTAAAATATTACTTAATTTTTTCAAACTTTTTTCAAGTTTGGTTAATATAATTTTTTCAAGTCAGTTCAACTTAAAGTAGTCAAGCTAATACATTAGATTTTTGCACTTAAAACCAATAAAACCAATAAAACTCATGCTCAACTAATGAATATAATTTGAAACAACTAAATAACCCGAAAGCCAGTTTACTACAACAGCATGTTGCAATAAACTGTAAAGTATCGCAGCATGTTGCCTTGAATTTTTGAGTTGGCTGAACATTTTGTTTTTACAGTGCAGTAGTCCAGCCAGTAGTCCAGCCAGGAGGAGATGAAGGCATGGACTGCCAGCATCCGCTGCCATCAGGAGATCATTCATAACCCTCACCAGACCTGTTTCTGTGCTGTGGGCAAAGCAGAAACCAGACTGAAATGTTTCAAAGTGGTTATTGTATTAGATGTTCCTGAAGGTGAGCAGCAACTACTTTTCCCAAAACTTTGGAAAGGAATGGGAGATTTGAGATGGGCCTGTAATTAGCCAAGACTTCTAGGTCAAGAGATGGTTTTTTGAGACGTGGTCTAACTACAGCCATCTTTAAAGCAGGTGGAATGGTGCCAGTTTGGAGAGAGAGGTTTATTATGGAGGTGATGAGGGGGCTTATGGCTGGAATATTTCCTTTCACCAGTACCGTACGAAAATGGTCCAGGGTACAGGTGGAAGGTTTCATCTTCCTAATGATATCTTCAACTTGTTGCTGCAAAACTTTGGGAAAGCAGTTGAGTGGTTGAAAAATCTCAAATATTGCATGAGTAGACGGTTCAGGTTGAGTCATAGTACAGGTGAGAGAGGAATGAATTGATGCTATTTTAGTTTTGAAGAAGGCCATGAACTTATTGCAGTGCTCCTCAGTAGCTTCCATGAAGAGGGGTGATTGTCGTTTGAGTAGATACTTTATAGTGGAGAACAGCTGTTTGGAATTTCCTGGACTCTCTCTGATGATGTTGGAGTAGAATTTTGACCATGCCCTTCTTAGGGACTTTGAGTAAGCATTTTGGTGTTCTCCATAGGCAAGCTTGTGGACAGTAAGGCCAGAGGCTTTGTAACGCCACTCTAGCACATGCCCTGCTGTCTTCATCCGTAGCTATACCAGGGAGCCGTTGTATACCAGGGAGCTGAACGGGAGAAGGTCACTGTTCTATAGCTTTAACAGGGGCATGTATATCCAGAAGACTGCTCATAGTGTTATTATAATAATCCACTCCATCATTGACTGATAATAAATTTGTGTGAAGATGATGTTGAAGGTCGGCAGTCAGAGATGCCGGGTTGATGTTTTTTATGTTTCTGAAACAGATTTGGCGCTTGGGCTTGATGAGAGGAGATGGTAGTAGCAGCTCCATGGAAATGGCCTTCTGGTCCGACACCCCCAGACCATATACCTGCAGACTGCTGAGAGGGGCAAAGTTGGTAATAACCAGGTCAAGAGTGTGCCCCCTAGTGTGTGTGGGAACATCAACAAGTTGCCTGAGATTAAAACAGTCCAAAAGTTGGAGAAATTCAGCTGCAAGACTGCAAGAGGGGGTGTTCACGTGAATCTTCATATCTCCAAGGATTATAATATTGGCAGAGGATGTACAAAATGTTTAAAAAAGGTTGGACATTTCAGGTATGAAGGATGGGTTTGGTCGGTAAATAAGAAGAAATATCGTGAGGAAAGGAGGCTTACATTTAAATGCCAAAAGTTCAAATGAGGACAGTTCAGGTAATGGGAGTCGGGAA